TAATTTTTTTGTTATTATATTTGGTAAAATATTTTATCTAATTTAATTTAATATATTTATCTAATATTTTTGTGTGTGTGTGCGCAGGAGGACAGTGGAGCAGCGGCTCCTGCAGTGAGCGCCAGCACAGGAGGAGGAGGAGGAGGAGGAGGACTGATGGGAGAAATGAGTGCAATTCTCGCTCGACGGTCAGTTTAACACCACCACAATCATAAATTATGATGTTTGCTCTGCAGTGGAAATATATACACATACAGTGGGTACGGAAAGTATTCAGACCCCCTTAAGTTTCTTAATTCAGTTTGTTTCATTTCAGTTTTAATTTTAGTTTTATTCAATTTAGTATTTTTAGTACTTAAACTTATTTCAGTTAGTTGCCAATGCGATATTTAAAAATTTTATTTAAAAAATGTTTTATTTTTAGTATTTGTTTTATTTGATTTCAGCTTGATTTCAGTTAACAAAAATGTTTTTAATAGTTTTAGTTAACAATAACCACACTTGTTTAAAAAAAAGTATTAGTTTTTAATATTTCTAAATTGTTTAAAATTTTTTTTTTTTATTTCAGTTTTATTTCATTTAGTGATTTTAGTATTTAAACTTATTTCAGTTAGTTGTCAAGGCAATATTTTAAAATTGTATTTTTTGTTTTATTTTTAGTATTTGCTTTATTTCATTTCAGCTTTATTTCAGTTAGTTTCCAAGGCAAAATTTTAAATATATATATTTTAGTTTATTATTTTTTAATCCAGTATTTGTTATATTGTATTTTGTCTTTTAGTTAATTTTATTTGTATTTCAATTTTAGTTTTATTTAATTTTATTTCAATTTTAGTACTTACACTTATTTCAGTTAGTTGGCAATATTTTACAATCAATTCAATTTTGTATTTTTTTTCTATTGTTTCAGCAGTTCACAAACATGTTTTTAATAGTTCTGGTTAATGATTTCTATAGTTTAATAGCTCTAGTTTTGGTTAATGATAACTGGTTTTGAACAGGGTGAATTCAGCGTCTAAGAGTCAGGACAAGAGCCCGGTGTCTCCTGCGACTGCGGCTCCGTTGAGCAGGTACGTCTCGCTCCGCTTCACTGAGTTCTGCTGTTGAGCGTCTGAAGATCAAGCTGAAGATCTGTGTGTTTGGCTTCTTCCTGCAGGACGAGGCCCGGCAGCAGCACAGGAGACGCCGCAGACATGGAGAAACTCAAACAGGTCAGCAACACCGTCACACACACTCACACACACACACACACACACACACACACACA